CTCTTCCCTTGGCCCCTCAGTCTCACCCTAAGATTCACCCCCTAGCTTCCTTAAACCACAAAGCTTGTGATCCACACTCCCCCCGCCCCCACTCCATGCACACACCACCTTTCCAGACTACAGATCTCGGAAAGAACGCTGCACAGGGAACGAGATCTGGGGGCTGTGGGGCTCGTGGGGGCTCGCTCTGGGCCCTCCTCCCTGACCAGCCTCAGTTTCCCATTAAGCCAACAGGAGGTAAAGGTTCCCACCTGGGTTTCTTTCTGTGCATCTCCGTTGTTATCTTAATTGTTCATATAGTGAAAGCATGCTGCCTGTATTTTCTTTTTTAATCATTAAATGTTTTTTCTTTTTCTTTAATAGTATAATAATCTGGAGACAGCCCTGGGTTCCATCTAGGCTTGCCCATTTCCAAAGTCTTTGGCCGCCATAGGCAATGTGTTTAATTTGTCCATTCCTCAGTTTTCCCATCTGTAAGCTGGCGGGTGGGAGGACGCAGTCATAATAGTCTCAATCTCTTAGCACTGCCGTGAGGATTAAACTGAATCAGGCACCCAGTACAGTGCCTGGCATAAAGAAGACATTTGATCAAATGATCTTATTATTTTTAAAATAAAAATACTAATAATTACTGTTTTGGGAAGAGGAAAGAAATGGACTCGAATTCTTCAGAGTCCCTTCTGCCCTGAGAGCCTCACACTTCTGCCCAGCTTCCCAGCCTTCTCAGAATCCCAGCTCAGAGTCCCGGACACAGCAGACGCTCAACAAATATTTGTCCGACTGGGAGAAAAAGAACTATTATCTTGTAATTTTCCATCTTAACATCCTCCCTTCCAACTGCCCCCAAGGCTGTCCCCAGCCAAACCAGCCCGGAGGCTCCCAGTCCCCTCCCCTCCTTCAACATTGCCTAGGAATTTCTGAGGGATCCTGCACCAGACCTTTCTCTCTGAGCCTCAGTTTCCCCAGCTGGATACAGTGGTGTGTGTCAACCTGAATCCTAGCTGTCTTTGGAGAAGGGGCACAGCCCAGGAAGTGGGGTGTGGCCATTGGCAGGAAGACCCCTCAGAAGGTGGGAATAACCCTCTGGTGGGACAGGTCTCAGCTCAGCTTCTGCCCACCCCCCAGGAGGTGGGAGGTAGGGCCCGGCCATTTGGGGGGGCGGGAGGCTGGCCCAGGCACCGCTCCTGCCCTTTTACGGTCTCAGTGAGTGAGGCAGCACTAACTCGGACATCCGCCATCCGCCTTCCACGGTGCCTGGGACCGGAAACGCGGGGGGTGGCGGGGAGGCGAGGGGTGGGGCTGGGGGTAGTGGTAGAGGAGAGTCCTCCCCCCCTCAAAGGGTGAAGGAAGAGAGCCTGGCTCGCGAAAGCTGCCCCCTCTCCAGGGCAGACCTTGAAGGGATGTTGCTATAACGGGCGAAATGGTAGGCAGGAAGTCTTGAGGGTATCTCTGGGTGCCCCCTTGTTCCAAATTTTCCAACCATCCCTTTCACGTGAGAAGGAGCAAATGCGGGAGGGGGGGGGTTCTCTAATGGTCATAAAAAGGAATGCCACCCTGATGTCTGAGGGCAGAGGGGAACCTGGGGCCAGTGGGAGGATGTGGACACCAGGGGGTTAATCTTCAGCCCTCCCCAGAGGCCTCCCCCTTAAGCTGGGGGCTTGGGGGCAGGAAGTCCCTGAGAGAGTGGAGAGAGATAGTATTGTCAAGCTCAGGCCCCAAGGGAGAGATTATGGGGGGTCGGGGGAGGGAGAACGAGGGTATTGGGATCCAGTCCGGCCCCCCCGGCCCGCACTGGCCCCGCCCTCAGGTGAGCCCAGGAGTTTTGAGTGAGGCCTAGATAAAACAAAATCCCTGGGTCCCCTGGGCCCCCCACCCCCAGGATTAAATTCCTGGGAAGAGAGCTGGAACTATCTGGAAAGCCTGGGTCCCAGGGGGAGAGGGCTATGACCTTGAAGCTTCCCAGCGCCCCCTCCTCCAACCCCACAGCTCTGACAGTGAGGGTGGCGAGAGAAGCGGGAGGCGCCGCGGTGGGGGAAGCAGCCGGCCCACAGGGCTCCCGGCCTGCCCCCCCACACCAGCTGTCTCGACAGGTGAGTCAGGAAGACAAAGGCCCCCTTTCCCCAGCTGCCGCGCCCCCTCCCTCCTAAGGCCGCGCAGGTGGGGGAGAGGAGCCGCCCCCTGGCCTGGGGCCTGGGGCAAGGGAGCCGCCCTCCGCACCGAAGCTTGCTCGGTCCTAGGCACGGCCTGTTTTAAGCAGATTGTGGGTGCGGAGCAGCGGGGGAGGGGAGTCCCAACTAGACCTTCGAGGCTGCATCTGGGTCCGCACCAACCCCCTGCACAGGATGAGAGCCCCTCCAAATTTAGGGGGTTAAGTACCCTCGAAGTTAAAGAACGAGGTCCCACATGGGAAGACAACAGCGCCGCGGAAAGGGGGACCCCGCAAACCTAGGTCTACGTCTCAATCTCTCTTCCAGGTGCCAGGGACCCCCAAACGGCCCCCCGAGATCCCTCTCTAAGCCCGAGTTGAGATTTGGTGGAAGTCTGAATCCTACCTAAATCCTGACCTCCCTCCGGGGAGTATCTGCCAACTTGGAGGTCCTCTGAAGAAGACTTTTAAAAATTCATGAGTCCTCGGAGCGCCCCCAAATCTGAGGGGTCCCATAAAAACCTCACCGCCACCACCCTGAGGCTTGGGAGTCATGGGGAAGTGGTCAGTATTTGAAGCTCATCCAAAAGGGTTCGCCCTCAAATCCGAGGCTCCCAGTGCCCTGTCCCCAAATTCCAGCCCCGAGCGAGCTGGGGGGAGGGGGACAAAGGCGGGGCGGGGAGCCCGCGCCGGGCGGGGAAGGGTCTGGAGGCAGTTGGAGGCTCACCTCATGGCTGCTCAGCGGGTGGGCGGCGCACCCACAGAGTGGGTGCTCCTGGGGCGCCCCTGGCTCGAGGTTCAGGGGTTCGGGGTTGGCTCCAGGTTCTGCTCAGTCTCCCCCAGGGTCCCGCCCCATAGAGTCCGGCTTCCTGGGGAGAACGTGGATGGGGCCGGGGCGGGTCCTCGGGCGCCTCCTCCCTCTGGGGATTTGATCGGGGGGTCCCTGCGGCAGAAGGGGGGTGCGGCGTCCCCTCCCCGGCGCACCCCCTCGGCCGGCGACGGCTACAATGTTACTCTTACTACTGTACTTCTCTTCGCTACATTTCGTTCCAAAATTCCACTCCCCGTACCCACAATGCCCTGCGCCTTAAAGGGGCCGCAGACAACTCAAGGCGGTTGGCTGGGTAGAGGGCGCTTAAAAGGGCAACGCGGAACCCTAGACCCACTATTTCCCTCTTTTCCTGCGTTATTGCAGGGAATGTACGGTGAGGGTCACCACCAAATTAAGGGAGAAGCTTTGTGGATGGGAAGGGATCCTTTCTAGATCCCTAGTTCTCTCCTACTATGGGAAATTCTTAGGGGGATCTCGATGAGGGGAACAATTTTTTCTCACCCTCCTTATCGACTTCTCCTTTTCTTTATATTCTGCTCAATTGGGATGGTAGCAAGGAAGACCCTCTGGTTAAGCACAGGTTGTCTCAAATTTTCTCCCTTAAATCCTCCCTTCGGACCTCCCAACGTGTCTCTTCTTTGCCAAGAGAGAGGGGTTACTAAGAGTGAACCCTCTCCCCCTCACGGGAGGGGGATGGGTGGGGAGGGCGCCACCCCTCTCACGGCCCCCCCACCCCCCGCCCCGCTGGGGAAGGTGAGGAGGAAGTGGGCCGAGGGGGCGCGGCCGGCCGCTGACTCACAGCCGCAGGGGGTGGGTGTGCGGCGGTGGACCTGGGTGGGGATGGGACTCCGGGTTCTAGTGTGGATAAAGCCCTTGGCCCCCTCTCCACGCACGCCCCGCGGTGACTCAGTTTCGCCCGCGGAGGATGGCGGGATCATCCCGCAATTGGAAGGCTCGGAGCCGGGGAGACCCTCCCTAATGCCCGCTCCCGCAGGCCCCTTCCCCCACGCGCCCGCGGGCTTCTGGCTGAGCCAGGACACCCTCCGAGGCTTCCGCAGCGGGTCCTGCAGGCCCCGCCCCTCGTGGCGTCACGCCTGTGTCCCCGCCTCTCCCGTAGAGCGCCACCTGGCCTGGGTACGGTGCCCCATTCAGGGACAGGAACCTGGTAAATCATCAGTTTGACGTTTACAAATGGGTAAACTGAGGCCTAGAAGACAGGAATATATCTGGACTATAAGCCTTTTTGCCTGAACCCCCAGCACTCCAGGGCTCGGATGCAAGGTGTAAAACCAACAATTCTTAGGGTCCAGCTGACTAGGTGAGGTGGACAACCTACCCAGCCCTTGTCCAAGCCGAATCCTGGATGCTGTCCTGACTTCATCTCATCCTTCTAGTGTATGTTCTGACATTAATTCTTCTCCGCAGAACTGAGTAATCCTCTCCCCTTCCCCACTTCACCCTAGGAGCCCTTGAACCCTGATTCACATGGGTTATAATTGTTTCTCTGTGTGTCTCCTCAGGCTGTGAGTTCCTTGAGACGGGAGTAGACTTGATCGATTTCTGTGTTTCACTAACCCAGCCAGGCCTAGAACAGCAGCTCGACGCACATTTACCCAACTGAATGAGAACCCCAGTTTCTGTGTGACCTTGGGTAAGTCCTTTCTCCTCTCTGGGTCTCAGCGTTCCCATCTGTGAAATGAGAGGGGTGGTACTTCTGTGTGCCACCTGCACTGCAGTCAGCAAACTCTTTCTATGACGGTCCAAATAGTAAATATCTTAGGCATATTAAACATAGGATCTCTTTCACATATATATTTTTTACAACCCCTAGAAATATAAAAACCATTCTTAGCTCAAGTGCTGTGCAAAACAGGTAGCAAGACCCCCCCACACCAGAGAGCCCCTTGCATACCTACACAAGGAGCCTGTCCAAGGACCTTTATGGCAGCAATGATGTGTGGGCAAGAAATTGGAAATAGCCTAAATGTCCATCGAGAGGAAGATGGATAGCAAAACAATTGCACAACACTTGTCCGAAGCGCTGAGCAGCAGCCCAAAAAGAATGTGTGTAAATGGCATAAAAGAAGCCCCTAACATATTATTTGGTGAAAAAAAAAATTGGCAAATGATACATAGGGTATGAAAAAAATCAAGGAAGCACCTCGGGTGTACATGCAGAGTAAAAGTTCTGGAAAAATCCACTCTGAATTCATTGCAGTGGTTACCAGTAGGACAGGGAATAGATTTGTGGGGAATGTAATGGTCCTAGAGATCTTAAGTTGGATCTTGCCTCTAGGCTTTCGCTCTGGCTGTTCCTTCTGCTTTGGGACACTCTTCCCTGGGTTATTTGCGTGGCTGACTGCTTTTCTGTCAGGCCTCTGCTCAGTTGTCCCCTCCTCCTTAGAGATCTTCCCTGATCCCCTTATCTAAAGCATCCATTCCCAGGTGGAAAATTGAGTGGCTGAGGGACAGGGGATGGAGAAAGACCTCATTTTATACCATTTTGTACCCTTTGAATTTTGAACCAAGTGAACTTATTACCATTGAAAAAATAAATAATTTTAAAAACCAAAGAAGGTTTTTTTGTCATGTCCCTTGTTTTAGTTTCCTCGAGACACTTGTCAGTGTCTGAGATGACCTGATTTGTTCCCTTGTTTGCTGTCTCCCCATATACACTAAGAGGTGGGTCCCTAGAATAGGCAGGAATCTCAGTGAGTCCCCCTTAATGGCCGTGAGCAGGCGCCCAATACATATTTGCCAAGCGACTGGGCAAATAATGCTCTCGTGTTTTTTTTTTTCCTACAAGAAAAATGTATTTTGAATCATGTAATTAATATTTAATAATAAAACCTCTCCCCTACCTCCCCCTAAAACAGATGGAAAATGGAAAGGGAAGAAAGGTTATTGAACTGGTTGATCTCTCAGGGTCCATTCAGCTCTAAATATGTCACAAACATTTGGTGTTGGGTTTCCCCGCTCCCCTTCTAAATAGCGGGTGGCATTTCCCCTCTCATAAGACTTTCTGTGAGAGGGAAGTAACAGAAGAGGAAATAAGCATTCTGGGGTTCCTCCACCAGCTTGTCTTCCTTCCGCTGGTCTGCGTAGCTGGGGAAGGAGAGTTTTTTAATTCCGTTGGGGCTCCAGCTGGGCAAAGGGTCCCCAAAGGACAACAGCTGTCAGGCCTCCAAGTCCAAGGCAGAGCCCGAATGGGTGCCAGTGGCCTTCCCAGGGCCGTTCTGCCCCTTCTGGAACACAAAATGTAAGAGACGGTGAGTAGGCACCCGTTTTGCCTCTTAGTATCTACTCCCCTATATTCTGGGAGCACCACTCCTGTTTTCCGTTGAGGGACCACCCTACCCCATCTCTGAATCCATCAGGTTTCAGTGCAGTGAAGCCCAACCCTAAGCGCTAGGAATGGACATGTGACCTTAGCCTGGCCAATCAGAGGCACAGTGACTTGGTCAGACATGTGACCCAGTGTGGCAACTATTGGGGAACTGGTGCCTTCTCTCCACTGAGGATGTTAGGCTCGGGGGTTGTGAGTCTGGAGCTGCAACTCTCTGCTACCTCACTCTGAGACCCTGCCTGGGAACGAAGCCAACTTAGGGGAAATAAAACCAAGAAATGGTTCCCGATGACGTCATCTGACAACTAGATGCAATCATGCCTTAAGTCCCTGAACTCTTCAATTACATGGCCCAGTAAGTTCCGTTTTGCTTTCCCAGGTTAAATTGGGTGTCTGTCACTCACGACTCAAACAGTCCTGATGAATGCCTCCTTCGACTGCTGAGAGCTATCAACAGCCCCGCTCCTCCAAGCGAGGACAACCAAACTCTGCTATGCAAAGGCCTTTGGGTTTTGTCCCCAGCTTCCTGCCTCCCGTTTTCTCCCTGAGACCCACCCTAAGAGCCTTCATTTCTACGGCCCCACCCACCACCTCGACATTTCCAAATTCTCCTAGACATTCTAGGCCCAGTTCACAACCTCTCCCTAAGACCCAGGCCATCCTCAGAGATGACCTAGTCTCTGCAGTGCATCCAGGCCTGGGGATTGGTCAGCAACATTCCTTAAATTTTTCCGCCTTATTCCTGGATGGAGGGGGTGGTGCTTGGAATGACAGGGCTTTACAGAACATTTCTGAGGGAACATTTCTTGGGGTGGAAGCACAGACTCCCCTGCTGCTGCTTCCCTGGTCATCATGCCTAGCACGAGGCCTCAGGCCAGGAGCGAGAATTTATTAATACATCAGGCAAGATTCACATCCCCTCTGGCCTCAATGTCCCCATCACTAAAGAAGTTGGTGTGTGTGTGGGGGGGGGCGGTGGAGGGAGCTGGATTACATGTTTCTAAGAGAAACATTCAAGAACATAGGATCCTTACCTCCCAGCGCTCCCCTGAAGCCTGGCAGAGTTGAGAATAAGCGTCAGCGATGACAGCGGCCCTGAAAAGCAGGAGGCCTTCAAGAGGGGGCCCTCCTGCTGCCAGCCCTCTCCCCATTCTACCCTACCCAACTCTGACTCACTTGCAGTAGAGCCCGCCCCCAGGAGGTAAATCTGGGATGTCTTCTGAAGCCAGAGCCCTGAAAACCGTGTTCAGGCTGGGAGGCTCCTGGGCAGAGGAGCACAGCTCTGAGAAGGAGGCAAATGTTATAGGGCGCCCCTGCTTGCCACCCCCCTTCCCGCTGAGCTCCTAGAGCTTGCCCACCGGCGACCCTGCGGCCCAGGGCTGCATCCAGCGCTCGCTCCTTCCTGATCGCCTTCTCACAAGGCGTGGGGGCACCCGGGAAGCAAACCAGGATGCAGGTCATGTTGTCCAGGCTGCCCTAGAAAGGGTGGAAGAAACGGCCTGGTGGGACACGGCTGAATGCCCTAGCTCGGGACTCCGCAACGATCTCCGTGTTCTGTTCCCCGATCCCCAATCAGGTTCTGTAGGTCTCTCAAGTCCCGCCCATCTGCCAGTCTAAACTTAGCCCTCTCACTATGTCCCCACAACTGGTCTAGCCCTGCCCTATCAAGGAGAACGACCCTCTTCACCAAAGCTTCTCCCACTCTGTTTAGGGGCTCCTCATTCTGGTACTAATCATACCCCAGGACCCACTACTTTGTCTCAGGTACGTCCCATCCCAAAAGACCACGCCCTTTCTTTTAAATCCTTCTCACTTAATCTAACGCCTCAGGTGCCACTTTCCCATTTTGCCTCACGGCATCCCTCAGGCTCCGCCCTGTCCATATTTTGGTCCCTCCCCAGTCCAGCAGGCCATGCCCTTTGGTGCAGTCCCACTCACTCCTCGTTTTATTCTAGCCTCTTCATTAAAGCCCCTCCACCCTAAATCCCCTCCGTGATCACAAGCCCCGCCCCCAGGACCTTGCACAGACACGTGTCCAACAGCTGAGCGCAGACTAGCTCTGGGGCCAGGCCCAAGCAGAGGCGCGATGCCACCAGTCCCGCGAGGGCAGCGCCAGACATCGCGTCCCACACGCCGTCGGAGGCCAGGAGCATGAACTCGTCTTCCGCCCGCCGTTCCAGGGCGGTCACCTCTGGCTCCGCGGAAACGAGCTGCTGCTCAGGGGGCCTTCCAGGAGCCTCTTTGTAGGCAAAGTCTCCCAGTGCTCGCGACACTGCCAGAGAACCCTCGAGGCGCCGGCGGCTGATGGTACCGCCCGCGTCATGGATGCGCTCGCGTTCCCGGGGCCGGAGGGGCCGATGGTCCTCGGTGCTGAAGGCCACAGCTCCCGCGCGGCTCAGCACCGCGCGGGAGTCGCCGCAGTGCGCCAGGTACAGAAAGCGCGGAGAGAGGAGCAATGCCACGGCCGTGGAACCGCCCGGCTCGCCGCGGGGCCAGAGCGATCGCAAACGTGCGTCTGCTCTCAGGAAGGCACGGCGTAGCGCCCCACACACGCCCTCGGGCTCGCCAGGCGCGGGGCCCAGCTCCTCGAGCACATGGCCCAGCAGGTGGCGCGCTCCGAAGAGGGCGGCTCGCGCCCCGCCGTGGCCGTCGAGGACAGCAAAGAAAGCCCAGCCCGGAGGCAGCCCGGGTAACGCGAGCCAAGCGCAGTGCGCGTCCTCCATGTGCGTGCGCCAGCCCTGCGCTGCGCTCGCCCCGAAGCGCAGGCCCGAAGATGCCGCCGCACCCCCGTGCGGCCGCTGGGCGCAACGCGGCGCGTTCAGGAGGGACCGAGGCCCTTCGAGAGCCCTGCACCCCTCCTCCTCCTCCTCTTCCTTCTCCTCCTTCACTTCCTCTTCCTTGCGAGCTGGCCAGAGGAGACGCTCCAGCAGGCAGGCAAAGGCCGCCATCCTTCTGCCCTGGGATCAGGAAGGCTCCACCCTCTGCACCTGCCCGCTTCCACTGCATTAATCCCCTCCACTGTGAGATTTTAAACCACTGAAATCTCTTTCCTATGCCCTTGACCTGCACTCAAGTCCAGTCACTAGAAGAGATCGGATCCTAGGTCTTTTCTCTCCAGCACCTTCAAAGGGAGCCTTCGGCTCAGGGTCAGGGAAAAATAGTAGTGGCAAACTAGCATTCATCACGTGCTACGCACTATTTCACATCATCATCTCTGATTTGTCGAAGAGGAAACTGAGTCACGGAACAAGCAAGAACACGAACTCTATAATCTATGTTCTCAACACTACACTCTTGGCTTCGGGACCCCAGCCCTGCTCCGTCTAAGCTCCGCCCATTTCAGTGGTCCCGTCCCTGTTTTCGAAATCTTTAAATTGTTTGTCTTTTTTGGTTCAACTCCTCCCCTTCTGGGTCTCGCCCTCCCAAACCCTGCTTCCGGTACTTCTTTTCCAGGTCCTATCCAGCCATCCGCCCATGCAAGTCCGCAGCCTCAAACTCTTATAATATTCGAAGTCTGGCCCCGTCTCTGGCTCCGCATCTTAACTACAGGCTCAGCCCCCACACTCTGGCTAGCCAAGCGAGCCTCCTCTCCCCAGGTTATGTCCACTTTCTGGGCCGCGACTCCTCCCCTGCCTCCTCTCTCCAGTTCCCTCTGGGCCACGCCTCTAGGTCCTCTGTCTCTGACTGGCCGCGACCAACTACCTGACGCGAAATTCTAAATTCACTTAAGCCCCACCTACGTCTGAGCTTCTCCCCTTGTCTCAAAACTTTCTGGGTAGTTTCTCCCCGCCCCCTTTCCCACGCCCTCTGAGGATCTAGGCTCAGATCCTACCTCAGAGCAGTAGAATCTTTATAACCTCTCCTCAAAGCCGCCCCTAGCTCCGCCCCAACCCACTCTGAGATCCACGCCCCAATCCTCTCCACCTGGGCTCCTTCACCGTTTTCTCCCCGAGGCCCTCACCCTACCCTAGGCTCTGTCCCACTTCCCCTACAGGCCCCGCGCTCTCCCATCTAGACCCCGCTCTTCAGACGGCCTTCCTTGCCTTCCCGGCCCCACAGCTTTTCCTCTTAGCTCCGCCTCCCTAGTAGAAAAGCCACGCCCCTCATCTCGGGGCCCAACGGTGTTTTCCCGCCCCCTGCCCTCCCTAAGGTTCCGCTCCGCCTGTCCTCTGGCCCCGCCCCAGCCCCGCGCTGCAGTGCCTTCCCTCCCGCGGCCCCGCCCGCCCCCGCGGAGCCGAGCAGAGGGCGGCGGCAGTGGCGGCTGCTAGAACGGCCCGGGAGGAGGAGGAGGAGAGGATGGCGGCGGCGTCCTGGGCGAGGCGGAGATGAGAGCCTGCGGCCCCAGGCCCAGGGCGGCGTGGCCGGAGTGGGCGGGGGTCCCGATGCAGGCCCGAGGGGGGCCATGGGGCAGGTCCTGCCGGTCTTCGCCCACTGCAGTGAGTAGGGGGAGCCTCGCGCATGGTGTGGGGCCCAGAGGCCCGGGTGGACTCCTCCTGGGTATCCTCTCTGCGCCTGGCCGCGGGAGAGCCGGGATGGGGGAGGAGGCGAAGGAGACAAAGGAAGCTCTCCCCTCCCCCCGCGTTCTAGCGGCGATGGGGGCCACCTGACCCGGAGGACCTGAGAAAGGGCAGAGTTGGGGGGCTGAGATAGCTGGCGTGGGGGTGCGCGGGGCTCTGGCGTGTGCGGCGCGGCCCCGCCCGGAGATGAGGACCCTAGCCGGGAGCTGTCCCCTCTCCTTGGTGCTGGCCGCAGCCGGCGGGCTGGGCAGTTGAATGGAGGGGTAGAGCCAGGATGGAGAACAGGGGTCTGATACCCCCATCACTTATCTTCGCATCCCACCTCCATTTTTCTGCCCTGACTCACGGGCAGCCCGGACCTCGCCCAAATCGTCCAACCTCCTGTCCCTGGGGAATAGTCATCCCTGGGTTGGGGCCAGGACTCCTGGATCCTTAGAGGGTTTTTACCACTGATCAGTAGTAACCCTGGAGGAGACCCACTCTGTTTCCCGGCTTCCGATACCACAGGTGAAGAAACGAGATGGGGGCGAGGGGCGTCCGATTTCAATTTCCAAATGGTATTGAGCGTCTCCTGTAGGCAAAGTCCCAAGCTAGCTCTGAGTGGCCGGACTCCACAGATGAGAACGCCTTGCCTGATCCTCCCGATCTCTGAGCCCAGGACTCCAACAGAATGCCTAACATTCTCTGTCCCGCACCCCTGAGGTTCTGACAGCTGAGGATTTCAACACTCTCAGATCTAGCCACGTGCATGTCTGGGGAGTCCAGATGCCAAAATTCTAAGAATCTGTTATTTCAACATTTTAGAGTATCATCCCAATATCCTAAGATCTTGTCCTTACCTTGGCTTACAAAGGATGACCCTACATGATCTCCCCACCCCACACACACACCTTATCTCTTTCCTCATCTCCCACCTCTCTCCTCTGTCACTCTGCTCCAGTCACACCTTTACACCTCTCTGTCCCTCACATGTGCCAAACAGTGCCTGCCTCGGGGCCTTTGCACTGAGCCTTTCTGTCTGCCTGGAAGACTCTTCCCTGGATATTTGCATGAATTCCTCACTTTATTTCGGTCTCTGCTCAAATGTCATCTTACCGGAGAAGTCTTTCTGACAACCCTGTCTGAAACAGCACCCTCTCACTTTCTCTTTCCTTCCCCGGCTTTATTTTTCTCAACACACTGAGCACCCAACATCATATATTTAATTGTTTTGTCTGTCTTCCCCATAGAGTGCAAGCTCTACGAGGGCAGGGATTTTGTCTGTTTTGTTCACAGTTGTATCCTAAGGGTCTAAAACAGTGCCTGGTACATAGGCTGGATAAATGGTTGTTGAAAGAATGAATGAATTGAAACCTCCTAAAATTCCTAATTTGAAGATTCTAAGGTTAAGGTTCCTGGATTTGAACTTCCAAGACTGAGCAGTGATATTCCGAGTCCTTAATTCCGACCATCCGAGTTTCCAGGACTGGCACACTTCAGTGATCTGGACAGTCTAAGCTTCTAAGAATCTTCGATTTTTCCCTCTCATAGAAGAAGCTCCGTCTACAGCCTCCTCTACCCCTGACTCCACGGAAGGTAAGCGCGGGAGGAGGATGTGAGTGGGACCTGAAGGGGACTCACAGCTGGGTAGGAGGGTTGAGGTGAGTGGGTCAGGTTCCTGCTTGGAGGAGCTCACGCTCTCCTTCACTCACTGCAGGAGGGAACGACGACTCAGATTTTCGGGAGCTGCACACAGCCCGAGAATTCTCCGAGGACGACGAAGAAGAGACCACGTCGCAGGATTGGGGCACCCCGCGGGAGCTGACCTTCTCTTACATCGCCTTTGACGGCGCGGGGGGCGCTGGGGCGCGCCGGGATTCAGCTGCCCGCCGGCCCCGGCCCCAGGGCCGCTCAGTCTCCGAGCCGCGAGACGCGCCTCTTCAGCCTGGCCTGGGCGACAGCTTGGAGAGCATCCCCAGCCTGAGTCAGTCCCCAGAGCCCGGCCGTCGCGGTGACCCCGACACCGCCCCTCTGGCTGGGCGCCCCCTAGATGATCTGGGGTTCCAGCTGGAGCAGCTGGGCTGGGCAGCTCGAGAAGCCAGGTACGAGGAGGACTCTGCTACCAGCAGCTCCACCCCGCTGGAAGACGAAGAAGAGGCTGGAGAGGCTGGGAAAGGTGAGATGTCTGAGGTGCTGGGACCAAAGCCACAAGGGGTGGGTGGTCTCTTCTCAAGCCATCTCCAAGGTGAAAGCTCAAGACCTTCTCTCTCTAATGTGCCAGAACTGGACCTACAACTCGGACTCACTCAGTCCTCGCCGCCCGAAGTCTTGACTCCACAGCCCAGTCCTGGTTCTGGGACTCCCCAGGCCTATCACCAGTCCCCACCCAGATCCCGGGATTCGAACTCTTCTCCTGATGAGCCCTCACTGGAGGACAAAGAGGAAGAGCCGTGGGGACAACTGGAGCGGGAGCCAATCACCGGGCAGTGCCTCGATAGCACGGACCAATCAGAATTCACATTGGAACCACACCTTCTAGGTAAACTGCTGGAGCGAAGGTCTCGTTTAGACCACAGCGAGGGTGGGAGGATTGCAATGTAAAGAGACCAACCTCGCCAAAGAATAGAGGAGAGTGGAGAAGGGAGAAGATGTTGGGATTGGCTAGACATTATAAACCCCGCCCTTAAAAAAATGTCCCGTTATTATAGACTGCCATTGGCTCTTTTCATGTAGTTCTCCTTCCCATTTGAGAAGTTAGCCCTCCGTGTGAGCATTATGATTGGCTGATTGCTTTAAAAAATTAATCCCTCTTTTGGAGTGCTCCCCCTAGAGGCTAATTTTGAACAGGCCAAATCCCTGAGAAAATAAGGCTCTCCTCTGGATGTAGTCATGGGACATTTACAAGTAAACTATGTGCCTTTTAAAAATTCTCCTTTCCTGACCACATCCATTAGCCAGTTGCAAATAGACCCCGCCTTACTTTAAAATGTGCTCAGCCTCCGGGAACGGCCAAGTGTTCGTTATAGACTGTTTACAAGAGATCCACCCCTTTAGCTGTTTACAAGAGATCCACCCCTTTGGGGGATGGTCCGCACCTCTATGGAGAGCAATTGGCCCGGCCAGAGGGGGCCCCGCCCCCTACTCCCTCCCTCCGGGTTCCACTGAAGTGGGCGAAATCCCCGAGAAGCAGCGGTGTCCGCAGCCTCTCACTCGGATCAGAGATGGGGAGTAAAGGTGGGCTTGCGGGGCGGGCTGAGACGGGAGCTGGGGGATGGCGGACGGGAATCCAGATTCGCTATTTCCCTCAAATCTGGGGAGATGTTTCCTATTGGTCCCAGATTCCCCAGAGCTGCAGGCTGGGTCTGGGGGGCTTTGGGGGTGCCCAAGGAAGGCATAAAGAGAGCGTGGGGCGCCCTCTCCCCCAAGATGGGCCTTTGGGGCCTAAGAGCAGGGAGGCCCCCTCCCCCATCCTCAGGCCCAGGCGGCGCTGTCACTCAGGCGCTGGATGTGCCAGCGCAGCTGCAGGCGAGGCCCCCTCCCCCCAGCATGCCTAAACTTAGCCCCCGTCTCAGGCGATCTGGCCCCTCCTCCACTCACTGGCACAGGGCCTCGAGGAGCCCACAGGGGAGGGCCCTGCGCATTGGGGTACGGGGAGGCCTGCTCTAGTTAGAGGTAAATGGGAGACTGTGGGTAGGGAGGAGACAGAAATGAGGGGAATGACTCTGAAGGGGACTGATCTGCGTGGGTCAGTTTGAGTGAAGTGAGGGCTAGAGGATGGAGAGGGTCTGGAAAGAAATGGAAGGGTCCTGGGCTCCTGGTTCAAATGGGAGCGGATTATTGGGAGGGCTACTGAGGTTTAGATGAATGAGTCGAAACGTTGGAGTCGAAAGGTCACCGGTCAGGGCTCAGGCTGGGCTTGGGAGGTGAGTTTAGGGTCTCGGAAAGAGATCAGAAATTTGAATTAGGGTTTAGGAAGGAGGATGGTGTTATCAATACATTTAGGACTGAGAAAAATGTGTTGGTAGAGGTATCAAGGAGATATTACTTTACACCTGTTGGGTTGGCCAAAAATAAAAGGAACAGTAACACCCATCGCTGGGCAGGACGCTGGGGAAAGATCACTCGCACTTTGTTCTCGTTACAGTCTTGCTAGTAAGCAATCTGAGAATATTTGTGACATTCAAAAATACGTAACTAGTCCACCCATCCATCCCACCCCTGGGATTCTATCTCAGAAATAGAACCTCCGGGAGGTAAGAATATCTGTAGTAGGCTGGTGCTTGCAGCGCTGCTGGGGAGTAGGAAGCTAAGTGAATGGCCCAGTAATAGATACATGGTTGAATAAACTGAACGACAGTGCAGCCACACTCCAAAATATCGTGGCGTCCTCAAAAAGAATGAATTAAGGGCTATTCTAGTTGACTAGCGTGGAATTCTATGAGTGCAAGTAGAGTGAGATATGCATAATGCAAGAAAGTGTATATATGATTCCATTTCCCATAAATAACGACCAAAAATTGTGACCACACAGAATCTATGGGTAAGAGTAAGATTAAGGGAACTTGCCAGATGCTTAACATGGGTTTTCCAGAAGGAGAAGAGGGGAGGCAGACATGCCACAAAAGAAGACCCTAAAAATTAGGAAATCAGGTTAAGGCTGAGAGATATGTCAAGCGGTCATGGTTCAACCCTGAGACAGGATATGGGAGATCAAGAGGTCAGCCAGGCCAGGTCCAAACCCCAGCCTGACTGCCCGCCTCCTTCACAGTGGCAGACCTGCTGTACTGGAAGGACACAAGGACATCAGGAGTGGTCTTCACAGGCCTCATGGTCTCTCTGCTGTGCCTCCTGCACTTTAGCATCGTGTCTGTGGCGGCCCACGTGGCTCTGCTGCTGCTCTGTGGCACCATCTCTCTCAGGGTTTACCGAAAAGTGCTGCATGCTGTGCACCGGGGGGACAGCATCAACCCCTTTCAGTGAGAACCCCGGCCCCTAACCTGACTCTGTCCAGACCCCAGTGCCGGCCCCAAGTCCTGACCTCGGCCCTGTCCCCATTCTGTTACTCTTTCTGATTCCAACCCGACCCCCACCTCTGACTTTAATCCACGCTCTGACCCTTCACTTCCAGCCCTCACCTTCGATCTTAACTTCTTAGCCTTAATCCTTGATCCCATCTCCTGACCCTGACCTTGACCTTAGCCCTCTACAAGTGGCCTCCTCCCTCATCCCAGCCATACCCCTCAGCCTGGTCCCCATCCACCCAGAGTCACCTTACACGCTTTTGTCCTCTCAGGGTTTACCTGGACGTGGACCTGACCCTGACTCGGGAGCAGACAGAACGTTTGTCCCAGAAGATCGCCTCCCAAGTGGTATCTGCAGCCACCCAGCTGCGGCATTTCTTCCTGGTAGAAGATCTCGTGGACTCCCTTAAGGTGCTCCAAACCCCCATTCCCTCCTGGGTTCCCGACATCCACCTTTCTGCCCCTGGGGGGTAGGAGGGCCATTTCTGGGTAAGTTCACAGCCGGGAGAGTGCCCTGTAGGCTCTGCTGACCTTGACCCTCACCCCCAGCTGGCCCTTCTCTTCTACATCTTGACCTTCGTGGGTGCCGTCTTCAATGGTTTGACTCTTCTCATTCTGGGTGAGCTGGGAAGGCTGTGGGGGGCTGGGTGAGGAGGTGGGTCATTGGGGTTGGTAGGGGACAGGGCTCTAGATGGAACTGTTAATCTCTTGGGAGAACCCTGACCCCCCATCTCTGTGCCCACAGGAGTGATCGGTTTATTCACAGTGCCCCTGCTGTACCGACAGCACCAGGTGAGTGGGACAGGCCTTCATCTGGCAGTATCCCCGCCAAACGTGAGTGGTCTGAATGCCTCCTCTCCACGGCAAGAGTCCCACCGACAGATGTCTCAGGCAGAGACAAGACCCACTGGTATTTCCGCCCCTGAAAGAGTCAGGGTTAGACTGACATATGTCCCAGCTGGGCACAGGTATCCTGGCTGCTGCCCCCAATGCAGCTAGAGTCTAATATGTTTCAACAGCCAGAAACAGGCATTTTAACTGCTGTCCGCTGACAGAGCCTGGATCTGATTGACATGACCCAACCCAACCCAAGACAGCGGGGCTAACCGATGCTCCTCCCTGACAATGGACCCAAGGTCCAATGGACATGTCTGAGCTACAGAGAGTCGGTCTAACTGATGGTGTATTGCCCTGACACTGCCTGGAACGGAACAACACTCATCCTAGCCAGAAACAGGCAGACAAATGAATGTCTTCTCCCCCCGATACCGCAAGAGACTGACCAACACATATTTCAGTTACAGACAGACAAACTGATGCCGTCTATCCTTACACGTAGTCTGAGTCTGACGGACACCATCCTAGCCAAACAGGTGGACTGACAGATGCTCTCACTCCCTTGAAACAGCCAGAGACTGACATCTCAGTCAAAATCGGGTGGATGACTGTTGCCTAGAACACTGACAGAACCAAGGCCAACTCATATATATCCTCTCCAGAGACAAGCAGATGTGTGGACATTCCCTCCTGCAGCACAGCTGAGAGCCAAATGATACATGTTCCCCCCAGGGAGAGAGTCCTAACTCCCTCACATGCTGGGATCACCGAGACCTCAAAATCAAGTAACACTGAATTAAACTAGTACTTAAATCAATGACGGCCAACAACAATGCCCTCCACCCTCACCCTACCCCTAAGCATACATGTGCACACACACACTCACTTCATTCAAAGATTAACAGTCATGCCCAGGATGTAGACTCGCTGGCAAATTCTTGTGTGTCTACCTGACATCGCTCCCCACACAGAGCGTGGCCCAACCGACTGACACTTCAGCTTGAACTTCTGACTTCCAAGGGAATTTAAGTTTAAAGTTCAAAGTGGAGTGATGGGCCACTCCCTCCAACTCTTGATTTGAAGGAGGGGGAGGAAACAGCCTCCTGAATGCATTAGGGAGAGGACCCCCTTCTAATCTCTCACCCCTTCTTGGTCTCCCCAGGCCCAGATCGACCAGTATGTGGGATTGGTGAACAATCAGTTGAGCCACGTCAAAGCTAAGTAAGGACATGGGGTGGCTGTGGATGGAATGAGAAAGGGAGGAACTTGGGACCTATCCCCTCTATCCCCCCTCATCACCCCACACCCCCGCCCCACACCACCAATCTCCTGGGGCTGAATGCCCTATTCTCAAAGAAAAGTGCCAGACAATTCCAACACAGGCCATCAGGTGAGTGCAGGGGCTGGCTTTGGTACTCTGCTTGTTTCCCCATCCAGCTTCCCCCTTACTTCTTAGACATCTACCCCGTCTCTTGCCCGCCCCCTCCTGACTCCACCTATTTCTCCCACAGGATCCGAGCTAAGATCCCAGGGACCGGAGCCTTTGCTTCAGCAGCAGCCGCAGTCTCCGGATCCAAAGCCAAAGCCGAATGAAACGGGTGTCTCTGCCTGCGGGACGCCTGCCCCCACTCCCTGCAGCCCTCTGCCCACCTCTATCTCCCTTCCGTCCTCACCCACTTCCCGCCTCGGCCCAAGCCATTTCCCGGTGGGTGTCAGGATCACTCACACCAGAGTTTGCGCAAATTCCCTGAGCGGCCAGGACTACATTTCCCATGAGGCTCTGCTCTGGGAGTCCAGGCGAGGCGAGGCACCTTGGCCGTGGGGCCTGCTGGGACTTGTAGTTGCCTAGCTAAGGCACCCATCCTGCACTTACGTGACCCCGCCGCTGGAGGCGCCGTGAGAGGTTGGTGTCTCCCGGACACCACTAGCCCCAGCACTGGGGTTTTGCATGGGGCCCAGGGGAGGCCTGAGCTTGGATTTACATTATAATAAAGACTTCTGTGGAAAACCCAAAGCTTCCTGTGCTTCCAGCCCCCTCCAGCTTTCACCTTCTTTCACCGAAAAGCACTTAAGTGACACTCAAGGAAGAACCTTCCTTGTCTCTGAAGAAGCCCCATCTGTTATCTGTTTAGATGATGAAATAATTGAGGGGAAGACGCTGAGAGATTGCCCATCCCCAGGCTAACCAAGGTCTGGCAGCCACTTTCCATACTGTGCTCAAGGAAGACATCACCAATCCATCCCCACACCCTGCCTGCTACACAGTCGTCTCACCTGAGTCCCATACTCTTGCATCCAACTGCCTTCTGAATGACTGCTCCTGCAAACACATCCACACCTCCCGTCCTGCTTGATTTCCATCCTGTCTGTCCCTACTGTCACCAGGCCTGAGATGCAGGTTTGGCCACATCTCATCGGTTAGGAAGCCATGTCTATTGTAGCTCCCAAATATCTCTCATCTGCCCACATCTCTCCATTCCACTTGCCTTAAAGTACCAGGACATCAGGTTCCAAAACTGTAAACTGAGGGAGGAAGAGGCAGGCGACCGAGGCCTAAAGACCCACAGACCTGGATTTGAATCTCAGCTTCACTACCTCTTGGCCGTGTGACTTGGAGCGAGTGACTTCACCTCTTGAAGCCTCAGTTTCCTCAAATAGAAAAGTGTCACCAAAACTATACCTACACGTCAAGTCACAGGACCTGGCATATAGTAGATGTTAATAAACAGAAGCTGCTATTTTTATCTATGACATGTTTTCCCAAATTTCAATCTTTCCCTCATAACCTTCGTGATCATTAATTATATCATCTGTTCTGCTATTTACCTAATAATTTTCTTTAAATTGGTTTACGAAAAAAAAAAATGTCTTTTTAAAGGAAATTTTACTTCGCCACCAAGGAAGTCACTATCGCTTGCCAGAAATAGAAGACAATGTTAAAAATAAACACAAAATTATTAATTTAAAATGTTTGTTTGTGCATCACCTAAAATCATCTCACTTGCCTCTAGCTTCGCACATCACATTTTATGAGATAAATAATGAGGTTACAGGGGTAGTAGTTACAGCCCCAGAATTTGTATACAGGGGTTACCTAGCAGTAGCTATCTAACTAAAAGAAGCAGGGCTTTGAGGGATGCGGGGGCTTCTCTTGAATCTGGATTTGCCAAGCAGAGACAATGTTTTAAATTTCTAAATGAAAAAAGCAAAATTTCCTAAAGATGCTTTTATTCACACTTCCCAGAAGACAAAGTGTCCATCTGTCCATGATAGAGAATGGAGGAAGAGGGACTAGTTTGAAAATATGGGTCCAGGAATAGCTAAAGCCCCCAAACCCAGGCAGGAAACTAGAGATAGAAACAGCCTTTACTGAGTGCCGCCCGCCCCCTCCCCCCCACACCCCCTCCACTCACCGCCACCCAGTTGCCTGGCCCCATGCCAGATTTTTATACCTTTCCGCTCATCACCATTCTTCCAGCGAATTCAGTTGTAGCAGTCTTGCTTTCCAGATGGGGAAACTGAGGCTCAGAGGCTGGTAACAATATTCTGCCATTTATTCTACAAACAGTTACTGAGCATCTGCTAACGTGCTTAAGCACTTTTTATTCTAGCGGGACCAGACAGACAGTGAGAAAACAGACTTAGAATATGGCAGGTGGTGATCAGGGCGATGGAGAAAAGGCCAGCAGGGTAAGGGGATAGAGTGACAGGGCTTGCTATTTTAAACGGGGTGGTCAGGGAAGGCCTCTCTACGTGATGATATTTGAGCAGACGTCAGAGTGAAGGAAGGCAGTGAGTCATGTGTACATGTGGAGAAAAGGAGATTCAGGCAAAGGGGACCAGCAAACGCAATGGCCCGGAGAGAGGAGCATGCCTGGCGTGGGGAGCAGACCTTTATGCAGGAAGTCAAGTATGTGAGGAGAGTCGAGGAGGAGACGAGTTCAGAGGAATGAGAGAGGCTAGATTACCGGGATTTGTAAAGCCATGGTGAGAACTTTACCTTTGTCTCTGAGATGGGAGCCACGGGAAGGTTTCATGTCGGGGAATGGTATTGTTGTCCAAGGATCACTGACTTGGGTTATAAAAGCATCACCTTTTTGGTAATAATTATGATGGCACAGGTTCAATTTCCCCACGTGGATGGGCTGTGGAAAATGAAGTACAGTACTACCGTTTTTCTAAGCCTCAGTTTCCCGGGCCATAAAATGCAGGTGCAAAATGGATGAGCTTTAGTGTCTAAGCTGAATAGGGACAGAGTATCTGTCATCCCCAGCACCTAGGACAGTGCCTGGGACTCAGTAGGCGCTCAATAAATATTTGAATGGAGGGATCGGTAGGTCGCTGAAGTTCCACAATAGAACAGCAGGTGTCGCACCAGCCCCGTAGCTGTCTGCCGGATCCTCCCGGTCTTGGTTAAATCAGATTCTAGCAGGAACCGACTCACTTGAACTCGGATTTTTCAGAGAACAGGCTTCCAAAGGCCGAATATTGAATCTCTTTTAAAAAAGAAAAAGAAAAACTTTCTCACTTAAAAAAAGGGGCTTCTGGCTCTTTAACAGCTAGAAGCGCGTGGGCCAGAGCCCCAGGAGCCGTTTCCCAGAATGCGCGGCATTATGCAAATAAACCATTTCCAACTCAAAGACGATTCCTGACAAGCAAGGCAGAGATAACATTTTGAAAGGGTTTATACCATAATAAATGACTGGGAAATTTTTTAAATATTAAAACGAAGAATCTCACACCCATCCAGATTATATAACCATAATCTAAAAATGATAGAAATTACTGGTTTTTATATAGCTGTGTGGGTATCGGGGTGTTTCGCCCGGATGATCCTCAGTGGTCTGGGGTGCAGGCTTCAAACCTGTAGCTGTCTAGCGACAGAGTGGTTCAATTCCACCTTTCGGGCGGGAGGGGGATCGCACCCCAGAACCTTTTCTTCCCCCACAAAATGGATGACTTTAGAGAGCGCTTAGACGCCAGCACCTCGAGAGGTCGCTGCAGCCCTCCGCATCGCAATTCATCCTTCTCCACGCGGGTCTCTTCCTGCGGTTACACCTTTTCCGCGGATATATTAAAGACAACTCCAAACGATGAAGAAAAACTCGTCTACAGTCCCAGTTCTGCGATGTTTAGTTTGAGAATGATGCTGGATCTCTCCGCCTCCCTTAAACTCAGTCATCTGCTCACTCATGTATTTAATCACGCGTGCACTTTATTAACCAGGCAAATGTGTGTTCATTGGTTCATTAATTCATTCACTCATTCAACAAGTGTTGCTCCGTGTCCAGTCCTGCACGGAGCCGGGCTGGGGACACAATGGTGATGGCAACCCTGGTCCCGGCCCCATGGTACTCCCAATCCAGAGAAGACAATCGTTCATCACACATTTAATTAACAACTAGGAAGGTGGTGACAACTGGGAAGGAAAGTATAGATCACGTGAGGCCATCTAATAAAGACACCTGAGTTCAGCTGGGGTGTCAGGGCAATATTTGAGCAGACACCTGAAGGATGAGAGGAGATTAGCCAACGGCGGGTGGGGGGGTGGGACATGGGGACTATGCTCAGGGATCGGGGTGACACCAATAATGGCGGTGGGGATGGTGATAACTGCATTTTCACTCTGCGCTCAGCGCTGGTGTTAATGAGCTCACTGACTCCCCGCAACAGCTCGTTCTGTAGCTGAGGAAACAGGTTCAGAGAGATGAAGTCTCTTGCCCAAGGTCCCCCAGCTTTGGTAGGCCCCCAACCCCAGACTCTCAGACCCCTGGTCCATGCTATCTACCATTGCCTTGTGCTGTCTTTACCAAGATAGCGTCTCACCAAGTCCTGTCTGTTCTGCCTCCTGAGTGACTTTTGAATCCTTTCCCTTCTCTCTCACAGCCCCTGGCACTGTTTCAGGCTCCCTCACACTAGGGTGTCCCCACCCTGGCCTCCTCCATGGTCTCTTGCCCCTTTCTCTTCCCAGCTACCATCAACCTGAAGGCCAGAGACATCTACCTAAAGCACTCACCTGTCCCTGCCCTTCTTTTTCTATTTTTTAATTTTTATAAGATTTTAAGTCACACCGATGACATCGCCAAGAAGCAAGATGTCAAATGCTTCGATGTCCCCACACTTCTTGTGCCCCAAACCTACCACGGCTCCCCAGTGCCCTCAAGAGAAGATCTAAATTCTTCGTCTGGAATTGAAGCCTTCCAAATGTGGTCCCTGCTAACCTCTTTCTCTCTACCCTTTGTCCCAGCCACCGTGAACCTCTAGCTTCCTCCACGTTTCAAGCCCTCTCTCCACGAGGAGTTCTTTGAACTCACTGTTTAATCAACCTTAGTCTTTTTCTATTCCCTTCTCTATCTCCTATTTACACTCTGGGACTGTTTAACTGTCCCCTCCTCCAGAAAGTCTCTCTTGACTCCCAGACCAGGTTAGAAGCCCCCACCGGGCTCCCCGCAATCCCATGGACTCCCTTAATTCTGTCTAATTTGAATCGCCCCTGACCGTGGACAAGTCTGTGTCCCCTACTGGACTGTGAACTCTAGGAGGGGATGGCCTGGGCCCGTCTCAGTCCCTGCAGTGTCCCCAACACTGACCAACCAGTACAGGGCTGGGCACACAGTAGATACTTAGCAAATATATAAAATTAATGAATAAATTAAGTGATTCTATCATAATAATTTCCCCTGCTTATTCATTTATGGTCCTAAGACATCTGAATAACCTCTGGACTAGCATTTCAATTCCCAGAGTGCTTGCTGCTATGCAAATAGGAAAAGGCGTGGATTTTGCAATGCGGATGGCTCGGCTGTATCTTTCGACTGACAAAGTGACCATATTTTTGAGTTAGTCAATTTGGGGTCAGCCCCAGTGTGTTCATAACCCGGAAGTGCTCACGTGAAAAGCAAAAGGAAACACATCTTTAGTGTTAAGGGACCCAAGTTTTTGTGATTCATATGTCTGAGGACTGCCCACCATGGATTTAAGTGATCTCCAATAAATTGGGATGTATTCTTCTAAGTTCTCTACCTTCACGGCCTTTTGCTCAGGCCGTTCTCCAGAGCGTACCGTCCCTCCCTCTCCAGGAAGCCTCCATGATCCTTCGGTATTTCCGTACCACGCACCTCACAGCTTTCTAGAGGGAGGCACAACCTGTGTTCGTGGGAAGTCCTCCTGCCCGTCTAGCCTCCCTCTAACCTGCTGTAGTGGGAGTTCCAGCGTGTGTGCATGTGTGTGTGTGTGTGTGTGTGTGTGTGTGTGTGTGTGTGTGTGTGTGTGTGTGTGTGTGTGTGCATAGCCCCTCCAGCAAGTTGACTTCACTGTCTCCTGCAGAAAGGAAGGCAGGTGACGGGCGTCAGGAGAAAATAGACACTGAGGCTTGGTGGATGTATTTTTAAGAGCTTTTTATTGGCGACAGTGCAGAATCATGGAGGTGGAGGGGAGCGGCCCAATGCCGGCCAGCCCCAGACCCCTGGGGTCAGGTGCAAAATACAAAACGAGAATCACAAATACAGAATGGGGTGGGGGCTCGGGCAAGTCAATAAACTGTGTAGGGCAGGGGCAGGCCCCGCTCATAGGCTCACACTCACACCCAGAATTCTCAAAGGTACAGATTGTAAAAATCTATAATCCCTCAGGCTGACTCGCAAAAATAACATCTCACGTCCCCAACGAACCCAGAGTCAAAAGGTAGCTGGAGGGTCAACAACAGTCAGAAAAGAGACAGGTGGAAATAGTCAGAGAAAAGACGGAAGGGGAGAGACGGTCCAGAAAGAGACAGCCAGAGACAGGCCGAAGAGACAGGCTGCCTCGAAGTTTCCAGAAGCAGTGTTTCCAATTCAATGGCATGGCTTTGGGGGCCAATGTGACCTGGGCCAAGGCTGCAGAAGCGCTCACACTCTCACGCGCGCGCGCACACACACACCCATATATAATATATTTATTTATACATAATAGATATAAGTGCCTTTCGGAGACCAGGAAAGGGATAAATAACTACCGGGAGGGGAGGGGTCAGGGCAGGAGGCGCAGGACGGGGCACGTGGAATGTTCTCCATGCAGCAGGAGGGCGGCCTGGCCCACCCGACATTAAAAAATATCCATTGGCCTCACGGTATTATTCTCATGAGGTGAAGCGCAGGAAAGGCGGGGTGGGGGAACTAAAACCAAGATTGGGGCCGGGATGGGGGGGATGGGGAGGGGAAGCTGGGACGGCGGGAGCCCAGCCCCATCGAGTTTGCCAGTCCAAAAATATTGGGGGTCGGGCGCCAAAGCCTCAGCCTTTAAGTCTTCTCCCGAGAAATGTCGGGCCTCCTGGCAATCTCCCCTTGCTCTCTTTCTAGAAAGGATGGGGGAGTGCCGAGAGGAGGGAGAAGTTGGCGTCCTAGGCCAGGGCTGGGTGACAGGCCTTAAAGAAAAAGGCCAGGGCTGGAGGCTGGCGGTCCTGAGGAGAGAGGCCACGCGAATGGATAACTGTCATCCCCTCTCGACTGTCACCCCCTGAAGTCTAACTCACTGTTGAGGAGAGGAAGATATGAGAAGGGGAGACCAAGGAAAGGCTTTGGGGAGCGGGGCGGGGGGCACGATGCCTCCGGAAGGTTTCTGTCCTACCGGACTCCACCCCCCCACAGGCCAACTCATTTCACAGTATAAACACTCCAGCAGAACAAGCATCACAGCGCCCCCTGCCGCCCGAATCAGAGAGGCCCAACAAGGAAGGCCAGGAGGGGAGGCTGAAGTGTGTGGTGAGGGGCGGCTTGGAATAATACTGTAATCAGACAGGAGGGCTGGGGCTGAATGTGCGGGGACCCTCGGGAGGTGAGAAATTCCATCAGAGCCGGTTTTGCTGGGAGGGAGTGGCTGGACAGTCAGGGAGGGCGGTTCACATTTCAGACTAAGTCTGGGTCGAGGGGGGAAGGAGATTATCATAGGGGGCCATCGACTTCCCTCTAAAGGGGAGAGGGGCTCAATTCAGAGGAGGCTCTGACCACTTGGAAATGTTGGATAAATAAGCTCAGGTCGGGGGAGCAGGGAGAACCAGCCTAGTCAACTCTCCGAAGAGTGCTGTGGGGGACACTGTGGGGGACTCTGTGGCACTTCCTCGTTGGGCCTCTCTAGAGAGGACTCCAGCCCACACCACAGCCCACCGCCAGCATCCCCCTTCCCTCCAGCCCGCAGATGGGCATCGCCCCCCAACCCTCAAACCTCCAATCCCCAGCGATTGGGTCGAAGCGAGAGGACCAACAGGCAGCCCAGGGCGTCCATCCCCTCCCCACCCCATGCCCCCAAAGTCACCAGCTTTCTGGCCTCGCCGGGCCACACAAACAAGAGGCGGCACAAAATACAAGGAGGTCCTCCTGTCCGATGGCAGTGGCGGCAGAGAGTCAGTCAGACAGGAGAGGCAGGGAGGCCACACACCCGCTTAGTCTCGTCCCCTCTCTCTCCTTCTTGTGTGTTTGTTTGTTTTGTGTCTAAAAGGTTCACAGAGCAAGAAGGGAGGGCGAGTTCAGGGGGTCGGAAGGCTGGTCGCTGCCGCTGGTGCGATGAGCGCCGGCGAACGCGGAGACCTCCGGGCAGGTGAGGACAAACGAAGAAGTGTACGAAGGGTTAACAACGGGGAAGGGGTCGCCGAGGACTTGAACTTCACTGTGTGTAAAGAGAGAAGCTGTCAGGTTGGGGAGTGCGTCTTGGCTGGTCTGGAAGGGCAGGGGCGGTGGTGGCGGGGGCGGCAGCAGCCAGCTGAAACCATCTTCCTTAGTGGATGCTGACCCCGGCAAATCTCTCACCTCCGCCAGCGGGCCGGGCCCCGGCCCCTCTTCGTAGGGGATCTTGCAGCCCGGTTTGTGGGCCACCAGCACAAACTCCAGACGCTCCTTCTCCTTTTGGAGCTCTGCAATCTCTGACTCCAGCTCGGCCTTTTCTTCTTCCAGCTGATCTGTCTCCTGAGGCCCAGTGGCCAGGTCATGGAGAAGAGAGAGGAAGGAGAAGAAGAATGTAAGCCACTAGAGAAGGTGGGTCGTGGCTGAAGCCATCTCCCCTAGACTTGCCGGTGAGGCCCAGGGCTGGCAGGCAGCTCTGGACTGAGAGGAAAGGCATCTTGGAGTCCTGGTGTGCTATTGAACTTGGGGCAAGGGTCTGGCCTTCTAGGAGCCTCCCCATCTGCAGAGTGGATGGTTGGGAAATGGCCAGGTGCACAGGCGAGTCTTTGGTTGCAGGAAGCACTCAGAGGTTTGTTGAATGAATGAATGAATGAATGATTGTTATATGTTTTTAATGCCACCTGTTACCTGACCCCCTCTGCCTCCTAGGAAAGAGAGTAGGTAGCCAGGAAAGTGCAGAATTTTCCTGAGTTCCTCTAGAGGCTGCGGGTCTCCCCACCCGCTGCGAGTCTCAGACTGAGGGAGGATGTAGAAGGGGAGGATGCCTTGGCGGACGCCATCAGCCCACGGTGCGACAACTATGAGCGGCTGAGGCAGGTGGAGGGGAATCGACACAGGATAAGAGGATTTCGTTTCATAAACTCTCCAGAATGTTAAAGCAGAGGAAACCTGGGAGGTTCCGTGAGGGGGGGGGAAGAGATGCAGAAACTGGCAAAATGGGCTGTCGCTTGCCCGAGACCAAAAGGGGGAAATACTCAAACCGTCCCTCTATTAAAAGTCCCTCATATGTCCTCTCAGGAAGGACTGAGGACCAGGAGAACGGCGTGTGTGGGTGGGGAAAGGGTCATTAATCGGGGCAGGGAGTGGCCAGGAGTCCACATAAGTCTGCGAAGGTCTCTGTGTGTGCACAGGGTCGCCCCTTCTGGCCATGCCTGTACCTAGTTCCAGACGTGGAACTGCCGGTTCTCAGCCCAGGATAAGGGTGCAAGTGTGTGTGTGTGTGTGTGGGGGGGGTGACAGAGGATGAGGAGCGAGCCCCCCTTTGGCAAACCCTCACCCCACCCCAGGGGCCATCCTCACCGCCTGGAGTCGGTCAGTCAGCTCCCGCCGACGGTTCCTACACTTAGCTGCTGCCAGTTTGTTTCGCTCCCGACGAACCCTTCGCTTCTCCTCCTCCTCCGGGGTAAGCTGAGTAGGGAAGACAGAGGCCATGAGGTTTGGGGACACAGTGCACCTCCTCCATCCATCCTGAACCTCCTCTCTTTCCAGAACCCCCAGGATCCAGAAAAGGACCCTCTCGTCCTCACTGACTAAGGATGCTAGGGTTTCTGCAGCACTGAGGCCTTAGTGGTCCCTCAGCCCAAGAGTGAGAAAGTTCCTGCCTCTCCGGCTTCCTCCCACCAGACCAAGTTCTGATGCTCCTTACTCACCGTCTCCTCTCGGGGTCTCCTAGGCCGGGCTCGGGCTGGGCGGGCAGGCCCAGGTCCGCTGGCGGCTCCGCTGGTGGAAGGCCCACCACTGCCACTAGCTCCGCCACTGCTGTAGCCACTTATGCCCGGTGTTGAGTAACTGGTTCCAGGCATGTCATAGGGGTCGACGGCCGGGGGCTGGGAGGCCAGTGGCTGTCCCTGGGACTGGGCCATGGAAGAGATGAGGGTGGGTTGCACGAGCCACTGGAGGTCCTGGCTGGTTGTGATCGCGGTGACCGTGGGCACGAAGGAACCGGGCATTTCCCCAAGACCGGCGCACTCCTACGGGGTGACACATACACACACAGGCGTAGACACACAAACAGAGACACCGACACACACACACCCAGCACACATACACACACCGACCCCGTGAGTGAGCACAGGGTGAGCGGGTGTGGATGTGTGTGTCACAGGCAAAAAGCCACAACACCCACCCTTCCACTACACCGTGACGCAGTGGTTAATGAGAGGATCTCTGCTCAACTGGCTTCTACCTCCTCCTTCTTCCTCGGGGAAAGGTTGCACGGTTCCAGCGGGTGGTGAATCACACCCCGGGTTGGTGACTCTTAGGTATGGGGGGTGGGGAGGAGGCTGGACACAGCCGGGTGACAGAACTCCCGGGACGGAGTCACAGCCACACACACAGCCACAACACCCCACCCCCACCCCAGAGGCAAGGGGAGGGAGAGGGAGAGGCCTTAGGCCAAGCCTTCCTCTACACTCACACACATACACACACCCCTCTGAGCGAGGGGATGAGCGATCAGAGGGTCCATGAGACCCCCCTGCAGGGGCGGGGATCCCAGCTAACCAGGTGTTGGGCGACGGGCCTAGGAGTTTAGAACAGCGTTTCAAGTAATTGCCTCTCCCCAGAATGAGGCTGACAGTGACAGGTTACGGTGGACAGACAGGTAAAGAGTGACGACCCGGGTTCCCTCAGACTGCCGCGGAAGGGGAATGGTGTAGGTCCCGAGCCCCCAAGCCCAAGCGGCGCTCATCTCCCCCCACCCGCAAATGGAATCCTAGAACTGCTCGGAACGCTAAACTACTCTCCTAGGGGGCGTGGTGAGGGATGGGCTGGCCCGCCGGCCAATCAGCGTCCTGGAAACCCAGGGGAGGCGGGGCTCCCGGAGACCACCTGGCTGCTCTTCCTAGACTTAACGGTTCTAGTCCTGTCTTCGGACACCCGGGAGGGACCAAGTGTCCTTAGTAGAGGGAGTGGGAGTGCGTGTATATGCCTGGAGAAGGGAGTGACGGTCACCAGGTCTCCTGAAGAAACCCCGGCCCACAAACAGACATCCTCTGCCTCTGAGAGCAGAGGTACGGGATCTCCTTCAGGTCCTCGCGGACCCATTGAGTCGCAGAGGGTCTCTCTTGTCGCGACAGGAATCCCCTTCGCTCTGCCTCTAAAGGCCGGTAAAAGAGACCCTAGCGCCGAGGAACCACGGGTTCCGGGGACAAAGCGGAGGAAGGGAACTGCACCCCACAAATAGGAAAAGAAAGTTGATTGGCCAAAAACCCGCGCCGCGGCGGCCAATCGGAACGCCGGACTGCCCCCTCCCTTAGCAACGTGGCCACGGCGTTCCAAAATAGAACGCTCCCGGGACGTCAGGGGCGGGGCGGACGAAGGGGGCGCCGCGCGCCGTGCGTGCCCCGCGTCAGACGGAGGATTCCAGCGCGTCAGCCGTTACGCACGGGTCCCCCGTTACGTCTCCGCGCAGGAGGCGGAGGCAGCTCAGTGGAGGGTTCGAGGCCCGCTTTCCCGCTGGATGGAGAGCGACCCGGCGCCGGAGTGGGCGCACCGGTGGAGGAGGTAAAGGGAAGAGGCTACTGGAAGCTTCCCCGGGAGCTCCCCGACCTGCCTAACCGCTCCATAGCTTCAGGTGGGGACCTGGGTCGGGGACGGTCCCGGAGCCAGCTAAAAGTTCTCAACCCTGCTACCGCATACATGTTGCACTGAACGGCGCATTCTAGCCACCCTCAAACCTTACCCCTCTGCGTTCCCTCCCTGCGCTCCACGCACACGGCCAATTGCAAACAAGTCCCGACTCTGCAATTTGCAAAGTGCGCCCTGCGCGCCTATGCCGTCGCTGATCCTGGGGTTTGATGAGTCTTTATGAGGGGTGGCAAGATTGCTCGTTCCACCCTTGACTTGAAAAAAATTAAACCCCACAAAGCAGTACCCTAACCCATTAGAACTTACCTGGGAGGCGGCGGCGGTGGGTGGACTGCCAAAGGAGTCCACCGAAGACAGATACTGAGACTCGGCGGAGGGCGAGGAGCTGCACCGGGAGCCGGAATCGTAGTCTCCGGGAAAAGCCTGAAACATTTCCCTGGGCACAGGGGGGCCCCTGTGACCACGCTGAGGTCGCCGGGAAGCCAAGGCTATGGCCGGGTGGGGGAAGAAAGGTGCGAGTCCGGGATAAGTCGAGCGCGTCGCCAAAGTGCGCCGTCCGGGGAAACTCGGGATTGGGGGCCGCGTCCCGCTCCAACAGTCGCAAAGTTTCTGTGCAATTCCTCTGCGGCGCCCAGGCCCCCACAAGATGCCGCTGTGTCTTCCGAAAGTCCAGGCTCGGTTGAACCCAGGGGCGTGGTGGGGATCGCTCCCCTAAAGGTGGAAAGCGCTGTCCTGCTGTACAGAATCTGCTTCGGATGCGGTCTCCTCCACGCGTCCGGTGGGTCCCACGGGGGGAGGGATGTGATAAAGAAGACGAAAAAAAGTAAGTCGGTCCTCCAAAGTAAAATGTAGAATTACCTAGAAGAATCCTTCCAAAAAGTTTCTCTCCGGAAAAAAATCATAAACCGAATTTCACAGCCCCCAAGAACCACAACAATAAAGTCCCTAAGCCCCAGCTCCGCGCGTCCCTGCAGTGGCGGTAGCTCTCAGTCTTATGAATGAAACCCAAAGCCGCCAGCCTGTATTTATACGCCCCGGCCCGGCCTTCTGCTTACGTCACCCCCCCCTCACTCCACAAACTTCCTCAGATCTCCGGCCCTGTTGGGCCGAGCCGCGTGCCGCACGGCAAGAGGTCTGCCTTAGCCTCGATATGGTCACCTGCATCACCTTTGCCACCCTGGGGGTCTCGGGGGCTGCGTTCCAGAGCTCTCGGCGGGAGGGGATCCCGGCCCCGCCTTCCCGAAGTTCCTGTGACGCAATTAGCCATATAAGGAGCTCGGCCGGCGAGGCAGAGTGTTTGTTTGGTAACCTAGCAATTACGTCAGAGGGAATCCCTCTCGCTCGCGCGCTGGCAGAACCCGCCCGCGCTTGCGCAGTGCCGCGCCGCCCCGGGGGCTGGTATTAATAGGCTGTTGGACTGGCCCAGGGAAGGCGGGGGTCGGGGAGACCCCAGCTAGCGGGTCCACCTACCCTCTGGCAGCCCCTCCCAATTCTCCCCGTGCAGTGGTGCAGCGCCCGTCACTCGAGAAGAAGGTTACATCTCCAAAAAGAGACCCTGGCTAGTGTGCTGTAGCACGTAGGTGGGGAAACTGAGTCCCGAAGCGGGTGGGAGGGGCTGGGATGCTCCAGGTGAAAGCAGAGATGCGAGTGGAGTCCCGAGGCTCAGCGCAGCTTCTGCCCTGACTTGCTGCGAGAGTTTGGGAAATGTTTTTCCTCTCTGAGCTTCGGCTTTAGTTTTTCCAGCTAAACAGAAGATGTGTGTCTTGGATCCCAATGGCCCCCCCAGGTCCAGCGTCTGAAAGGTAAGTGGGTTTGGAGGAAATGGAGAATGAAACTTAGGATGCAATGTTCCTGCT